GGGCAGAGGCAGCGCACGTTGTTGACGCACGTCCCTCCGTTCTGGCAGTGCAGCAGCTCGTTGTCGCACACGCTCGCTGCAAGACAGCGGGGAGGGAGGGGGAGAAAAGCAGAGCACATGTAACTTCATCTCCTCTCTGGCAGAAACTCCCGCGCTAAAAACAGGCCTCAGCCCCTAGTGGCTCATCTCATACCTCCCTCCCCTCCGAGAGACTTGTAAACAGGGGATGCCTCCTAATTTTTAAAAGCTTAAAGCTTGCATTTTTTTAATTTTATCTGCTGTTTTTCTTTTTTTCTTTTTACCGTAGTCTTGGAGAATGTGATCGTTTCCGACCACTGAATGCAGAGTTACTTAATACCTGCTGCGTGCCCCGTCTGTATTTTGGTAGTTATTACTGAACTGGAACTCAAGGTGAGCGTTATTACTCGAAAGGGGCAAGGTATCTAGAGCACAGAGCTTTTAGAAAACACGAATGGTGGTGAAAAATGCAACATGGCTTTGCTGAAGTAAAAAGATCTGTAAGAGAAGCCAGCGCTTCATACTGACAGAGCTGCGTGTATTAATGAGCTGAAAAAAAATAGGCAAAAAGAGAAGGCAAACACAGACAGAAAAATCAGTACGCTATTTGATGGGCGTTATATGGCATGTTCATACGGAAATAAAAGATAATGCTATTTCTGTTGCACATCAAATATTTCTTTTTAATTAGGTTTGCTGCTTTGGTTCAAGGATAGTTGGCATCTTACAACTATCTTAGCTAGACCCTGCACCTTGAGGTAGTAACTTCTGAAGTCCCATTTGACAAAAGAGTTGGGAGAAAATATCACAGGCAGAAATTGTAGAGCTCATGTTATATTTTTGTATTTGAAAATTTTATGGCTTTTCTTTTCATTACTTAGTATTAATTGGCATATTTCCTTGGGTAAATATGTACAGACAGGAGTATCGTGCTATGGAAGTGCGTCAATCCGGCTTAGTCCTGACGACATTGCACAGGAGAATATGCGCTAGGTTACAGTTCTGCTTTCCACGGGAGCGGTAACGTCAGCAAAGATCTAATGATCTTGCACCTTCTGCAAGAACGTAACCGTAGTTTTCCCTCAGGGAATTAGGAGAAAGATGACTGGGTTTGGAGACATACTTGGAAATGCTAAAAGTAATTGATAATATGGAAAAATGTTGCTAATTGTTCTTTAATTCTACAACAAATTCTACATACAGTTTTATAAATGTTTGTTTGTTTATTTTTAAAAGTAACCTGAATATTATGAGAACTAAAATTCAAATTCTTAAGTGATGCAGTTCTACATAAATCTGTGACATTTTTTGTATTGGCAATCTTATCTGTCCTGGCTTGCATGAAGAAAAATAATCTTCTCACTCTAGAAGGACTCCCTGACAACTGCTTCCTAATGTTGTGCATTCAAATGGGGCAAATACTGAGGCAGGGTATAAGAAACTGCATAGAAGTAATCAACAGAGTGCAGCTAAATAAGTATCTCTTGTTTTCACCCCACTAATTAAAAGGTTTTATTAAGAACTAGATATTTAACACTGAAGTGTCCAGCTTCTGAACAGTAATGTCAAAACTTGAATATTGAGGTACAACAGACACGTTTATATTATTGATGATGACTACCCTATGACTGAATTCCAATGTTCTTTATATGCATTGCAAAAATAGCGTTCATACTATGCACGAGGAACAGTAAACCACCACCAGCTAAATATGAGAGATGAACAACCCAGGAAAACACAGGATAATAGGTCCAAAAACTGAACTTAAACAAAAAACATTAATATTTGAGTTATATCTCTTATAGCTGAGGCTAGGTACCCTTAAAGCTGACCTTACCTTCATACTGTACATACTTAGCCATATCAATATGCAAAATCAAAATACTTTATCTGATGGTACAGCTACTGAGTTTGCTTGTTCTAGACTACTCATTGCCGGGGATGCTTCCTACAAGTCAGGCAATGAAAACTGTGAAATATCTGTTCCATCAATATTGACCACTGAATAATTCTCTTGAATAATTGAGTGGAAATCAATAGTTAATTAAATCACACTTTTTTACAGCAGAAGAGATATTTCACTTCATGTTTGGCCTTGAATATGAATGAGATACTATCCAAATTTTTCCAAGTATTCAGTAAAACAAATTTATTTTCCAATAGCTTTCCTATTTTTAAACTTATTTGACAACACTACAGTGATATTTTAAAAGGTCATCACCCCAGATGCTAATCTTGTAGTTACAGGCTTCTGGATATGGGTGACTGAAGTAGCGTTCTGCTATGTACCGGCCATTAACTCTGCCTGACACATGGATGCAGCCTATTAAATGCCTCTGTAATCACTGTTGTCTACAAAATTCTGGGTAGAACATTAAAGATGCTGATTTTTCAGCTTTTCTACCATTGCCTTTGTAGGTGGTCGGAGTGAACTATCTTCTTTTCTTTATATGAAAAAACTGGGAGCATAGCTAGGAATGAAAGTCAGCTGGGCTAAAGTAAAGGGAAATAACTGGAGATGCTAGCTTTGCCATACTCCTGCTCTTCGCGTTATTGGCAGCACCACTCCGATAACCAATTATGAATCAGAAAATATCTATGCCTTGGTTATGCATCTTCAGCATTTGATGTCCAAAATTGTGCTCTGGAAATTCATTTAAATGGTTTTTTAAAAAAAGCTAAATGTTCATAATCTCAAAGGCATCAGCTAGCAAGTCCTGATCAAAGAACGAAATGCTGAGAAGCAATGCAAATACATTCTGAAGTGGTCACGCATGCCCGCTAAGCCTGGTGTGGCTGAACTAGCTGCAAGTTTCCTGGCAGATCTTCATGAATCAGAAGGTTAGGACATCAAGTTGAAAATTTAAGATTTGCTCTGGAGAGCTTTGGAGGCTTTTTTGGAGAGTATTTCTGAGCACAGTCTCCAGATTTTCTGTTCTACTGTGGGAAGTTAAATATTTAATAAAAGTAAACTAAAGGAAAATGTTTAATGTTATTTTCATAATTCATCAATTTATGATCTAAGTGACAGTCTTCCGATTATGGCATCCTTAAAACAGTACACAAAGAGACAGAAAAAAGCCACATACAAAAATGGAAAGATATTTGAAGCTCTGCCATCTTTGGGAGGAAAAAAAATCCAAACCAACAAACCACTGCAATTGGTAAGAGATGATTAATTTTTTGAATTAAAACTTAAACATCTTCCTAAAGTAATCATTAATAAAATATTGAAGTCTTTTTTTTTTTCTCCAGGATAAGACCTCTATAAATACTGAAAGATGCCTTGCCACAAGTCACAAAATATTCATGAGAAACCATGTATTTTGTAATTCTATTGTCATTAAATTTGCAAATGGAATAAAAAGAAAACAAGGGGGGAATCCAGTGTTTCAGCCAGCTCAAGCAGTTCAAGTGGTAAGTGATATTCTAGTGTTTCACAGAATTCATATTGGCTACTTAATGAAAAGTATTGAGGATAGCGTAGATGTTTGACATGACTTTCCTCTTAAATGTTCACATCTGAATAATGCATGGAAATTTCTGAGTCTGTCCAAAACTCAACTTTAATACCTTTGCACTTTCTTTAAAAAAAAGGAAAACAAATTATTTCAGGACTGAACGTAATTCTGAAGCACCAACATAGGCGCAGTGACACCAACTCAAGCCTCGTTCCCTTGGGCCTGGCGTGTCGCTGCAGGCTGCTGGTTTGTGTCGTGCTGTCAGGTCGTGTCCTGGCTGTGTGTCTGGGCAGCACAGAGCAGAGGGCCTTTGGTCTGTCCGTTACTCAAAGAGAAAAAATACACCATTGGACTTAAACCCAATTTCTCTCAGCATCCTATCCTGCCTGAAGGCTTTCCAAAAGGGGAGAAAATATATTTTGTACCTTTTGGGGGCTACCTTCGTTTTTGTCCAGGTTAGCAAAAGTAGCATCTTATCCAGGCAGGTCAGCCACATGAATATGTGAAAAGTCAGACTGATTTAAAAATCAGACAGGTTTAAAAAGGAAATTCAGGTGATCAAGAGGTGTCTTTTTTGATCTGCGTAGGTGGTGCTACCTTTCTGCATCTAAATCTAGGCTGGTTTTGAAATTTTCATTATTTGCATTAACAGCATAAAGACCATTAAGCATAAGGTAAGGTCACAGAAAGAAAAGTTTTTTTAGAGGTTCATTCTTTCTTTCTTTCTTGAATGTTAAGTCTTTCATTTCAAGAAATGTTTTGTATGATCTCTCCTATTGCTATTTTTCTTCAGTGTGATATCATTTGCTATACAGCCTTTTCTATTCTCCTCTCTCCTTTTAAGAACACCTCTTGATTTTTGTCCTTTTTGTCTCCCAGATCCACCAAATTGAGCCTCTATAGTCCCTGAGCAGGCTGGTGGATTGCCAGCCCTGAATATATTGCAAGGTACTTTGGTCTATTCTAAAGGACTGATACGAGTTTTGACCCTGCTTCTGCTGTAGTGAATCTTCCACAGTTCCTCAGTAGTTTGTGTGAAATCTTGGCACTACTGAAATCACAAGAACTTTTTGACCTAGCATGTCACCCATTGTTAATAACTTTGACAGCATGCACATTTAGGGGCTGACAAAATGCTTCTCTGCTGAGTTTTCTCTAATGCATCTATTTTCTTGGTACTTTGTATCTAGTGAAGAATGTAGCTTGAAATCACTTAGGAAGAAGTTTTCAGTATGCATGCTAACTGAATATTCTGTCTCAGCAAAATAAATGGGTAAAAAACAAACATAGTGAAACACAGATTTTCAGTAATGATGTTCATAGCTACCTTCAATATATGCAGTGGTTGTCTATATATAGAGAGCTGTGAACTGCACATTGCAATACCATGAAAAAATTAGGAGGTTTCATCTCACCAAATAAATAATTTCAGTAAATTGAGGCTGAGCATAGGAGGTTTATCATCAAATAGAGTATCATTTCCTACGACTGCTATAAAGATTCTGTAAATTGGTGTTTTTCTCTAAAAATCTGATCACTTATATTCTGTGATTGTTTTTAACATTTAAAAGAAAACACAGCAAATGAGGAAGGTTCT